ACAAAATGGGATAAAACCAACTTTTAACTTGGTTTTATATCACTACAAACAAATATGGCCATCACACAGTGACAGTCTCAAATGACATCCTCACCTTACCAGTTTTGCATCTTCTGTTTTGTTAAGGACATTTGTTCAACTTTGAGAAAGAATGGAAGTTACATTTTATGAAGCCCAAAGGACTTCTGAAGGATCTTTCTAGGTTTACCACTACTATAGACTCAAGTATAAGTGCCCCATTCTGTACTGCATTATTTGCCTTCTCATTGCTCTCCTCAAAAGCAATTATCACTTCTCGCAGTCATGTCTTAGAAGTTGCTGCTTAAATTCGTCCTAGCTATAAGAAAAACAAACATAAGTGAAAAGGAAGTTAAGAATGTTGGTTGAAGGTACAAACTCATTTCAGTTAGGTGAATTTGGAGATGTTTTGAGAACTACTGATACATTGCAACACACTAAACTGACAATAGGTTACGTAGGTGGGAATATTTTATGTACTACACATAGGACAAAACTCACTGCATAATTTGTCACAGGTATAGCAAATGCTGAAACTGGCCACCCACAGCAGTCTTGCCCTCAGTGGATTCTTTTGGTGCAGGCTGGTTTTACTGACATCCTCAGAACAATTCCTTGGTGGATATCCATTCCCACAGGTCCAGGCCTGCCTGCCCTTAATGCAAGCAAGTGTATGGGAAGCTGTTGAAGAGCTGCAGCACAGTAGCATCAGGAAAGGGTTCTCCATATCCTGCCTGTGGGCCAAAGACAGCAGCCAGCCCTGTGCTGAAGGGCAGAACTAAGGGCATACAGAAAAGTGTCTGGACCTCTGAGGTTCCACTTCCCACCTCAAGGCAGGTTTAATTATTTGTACAAAGCACAATGCTTCCAGCACGAGCAACAGAGACTTTCAGTCAGAGTGAACTGGCTCTTGTCTCTAATAAATCACTAATAAGCCTCCAGCTGGAGGAATCCAATAGCTGCAGGAGACAGGTTTCAGCCCCCTCCCAGTTTGTCTCAGAGCAGCCCCAGTTCCCTCATGTCTTGCCTGTGGTGTAGCTGGAAGCCTCAGTCACTGGGATGCCAGGAAAGCCAGCAGTGGGGGCTCTCCTTCAACATTTAATTGCAGAAAAGTTCAGGTGCCCAATTTCTGGAACCTATTCAGTGCTAGAAAGGAGGCATCAGTTCTAGGAAGCAAGACACTTGATCTATGACCCCCCTTCCCTCCCTCTGCATTTTTCCCCCTTATTTATGCTAACTAGCTTTCTGCACAGCTGCTTTGAGAGGTTCATTCTTCGCCACCTGCACAAGAAATACCACAAAAGTATCCTTTTGCTGTCTCTCTGGTTGAAAAGATATTTGCCCTCTGTAAAAATGCCACGAAAGGTCAGTTAAAATGTGCCTTCATTTTTATTGTGTAGATAATGTAAGTATTTTACTATCATTACAGGGTATTATAAAATGTCCTTTCGTGAAAACCTGTCCTGGATAATCATAGTATAGAAACACAGAAGAGTTTGGGTTGGAAGGGACCTTAAAGATCATCTAGCTCCAATCCCCCTGCCATGGGCAGGGACGCCTTCCACTAGACCACAAGGCTCAAAGTCCCATCCAGCCTGGCTTTGAACAGCACCAGGGACAGGGCAGCCACAGCTTCTCTGGGCAACCTCTGCCAGTGTCACACCACTCTCATAACGACAATGTTTTTTTCCTGATATCTAATCATGATCCTTACTTGAATACACAATTTGAAAAGGCTTAGCAAAGGCAGAGTGTCTTGAAAGTAAGAGAAAAGCATGTGATAATGAAAAGTAGAAATGACCAAGATATGAGCTATAATAAAAAGTGGTGATAAAGTATACCTTTGGCACTCACAAATAACCCACGCAAGACAACAGAAAGAGAATATTAAACCTCCACTTATTCTTTTTCCTTACAGCCCAAGGAGAGGGAGGCAACAATTAATGAACCATAAAGCTCAACTCGAGCCTTGGGGCTTGCTGTCAGCCTGCAAGAAAAAAGAGTAGAGCCGTCAATGTAACACCGTGACTTTTCCAGGGTGAGTGACTTGATGACCACGTACAGCACCGGTAACTGCACACGGCCACCCAACAGGGGTGTCACTGAGGGCTCTGCGGCTGGCTGCGCGCAGGCCGCGGGGCACCCCGCTCCCGTCTCGCCGCACCGCGCTTCCCGCAGCTGCCGCCAGAGGATCCCGCCGCCGCGGCAGGAGATGGCGGAGGCTGGTGGGATCGGCGGGCGGGGAAAGGGCGGAGCGGGGCGGTGCCGCCGCCGCTGCGGGGACGCAGCTGCCGGCCCGGAGGGAGTAGGGGACCTCGAAGTTCTGCACAGGGCTGCGAAGGTTGGGCTCCACGGCCAGAGGGGTGGCGCTGGACTGGGCTCGCCGTCCTCCCTTTGCAAAACGCCGCCGGTTTGTCTTTTCTCCAGGGAAATCTGCCCTATTTACAACCCCCGCCCGGGGAGTGGCAGAGGGGAAGGGGCTCCGGCCTTCCGACCCCCGGCCCGCGCCGCCCGCTGCATCATTTCCCCGGCAGCTGGCTCTGCTGGGCTCGGCTTTTATTTATTGAAACCTGAGTGTGTGCGAATACACACCTTTTTCCGTACGTGGCCAGCGCGGGGGTAGTCGGCGATGGCAAAGAGTCTCTACCTGCGTAGAGCGCTTCCCGTCCTTGCTTTCCAAACGGGCAAGCGCTGCTAGCCGGGACGTGGATAGGGCCACCCCGGAGCCTTAAGTGGTGTTTCCATAACCACCAGACTTCAGGAAACCTTCGGGTACCTGAAAACGCTCCTGGCAGCAGGGAACAGCGAGCTCGGTGCCGCCGGGACCCACCAGTCCGGATCCTGGCCCCAGCCGGAGTTTCTCCCGTAGCTGCAGGGCGGCTGCTCCTCCGCTCGCCCCGTCCAGCCTCCCGCTCGCCCCAGCAGCCCCGGTGCTTCTGCGAAGTTCGCATCAGCGGTTCGCGGTGCGGCTTAGCCGTCCGCGCCTGAGTAAAGGCGCGCTTCCACATAGCTATTTCTGGTGAAATCCAGGCAACCTCCGAGTTCCTGCAGTTCCCTCGCTTCATCTTTCCTTCTCCCTTTCCCTTCTCCTTCCCCTTCCCTTCTTCCTCCCTTTTTTTCTTTCCCTTCCCTTCCTTATTTTCTCAAGGCAGCAGGCGTTCTGGAGTCCACCTGCACTCTTCTGCCGGCGCCGGAAAGGAGCCTAAGTCTTGTAACAAGTGATTATTAGCAATTCACAGTAATTGCAATTAGCCAAAGCCAACACGAGAGGACTGCTGTATAATCTAGTGCAGAGACGTTTAGGTTGAAAAACTAAAAATCCTAAAGTGCATGACTGGGAATTAATTGCCTTGCTCACAACGGATTTTCCCTCAGCTGTCTCATTCCTTCAACAAACAACTTCAGGAACAGAACTCTCTCCAACCAGCTCTTCTAGGCATCATGTAGGAGTTATGCTGAAAGCAAAATTGCATCTTCCAGCAGAACTTTTTTTTTTTTCCTCTTAATGTAATGTCATAACTAAAAACGACTCCCCCAAAAGCTGGAAATTATGTCTAAGGGAGGAGGAAGCAAAGGTTTACGCTTCCGAGACTTCTGATGACAGTAAAATGATCACTCGTTGTACCTCTAGCAGAGCTTTTTGTTTCCAGATTACCATCATGTAACTGAGATTCTGTCATTTCCCATTCTGAAAGCAAAGGGGAATATTCCTATCACCCCGATGCCTGGTGCAAAGCTCCACACACCTGGGGAGAGCTGGTCACTAAAAATCACATCTGTGCTGTTCTTAGTGAAGTAGAAAAACACACGGTGTCCAGAACCAAACTACTCTAGCCCTGAATACACTTGGCTGCTGTCACTTTTCCAGGTTCTCACGGCAGAAAATCCTCATTTATTCTGAAGTTCCAAATGTACACATAAATCCAGGTAGCTCAGTCCACCGCATCTCTCTCTCGCGTATACATGTTACAGGCATACTGTATGCTTATCTGTGTGTGTCCATGCATTTGTATAGCATGCAGACTTCTACATACATACAGGTAGATACAGAGGCATGGTACAAAGGCTCTGAGTTGTGTGTGTCTGTCTTGTGTGTAGAAGATTGTGCTGTAGGTCCCCCTGTGTAGCTGCCCCGATTACATGGATCTACACTTACACGTACATCGGGATGCCGGTGGTGCCGACCACCCCGAAACTAGAAGCAACGCCGACCTTTCTCCCTCCGTCTGAGGAGAGGCCCTCCAGCGCCCGGCGTGGGGGTGGGGTGGGGGGGGGCATTCTGCAAGTGAGTACGGGGATTGGGGATGGGGGAACTCCCCTGAAACAGTGGGGGGATGCTGCCGCCAGGCGCCGCAGCCCCCTCAGAGTCGCCCCCTCAGGGGGCATCGGGCTGGGCTGATGTCCGGGCTGGCTGCGGCTGGCGAGTTCGCTGCTCCCGCTCTCCCGTGTGCGTGTGTGCGCCGGCGGGGCGGGGGCAGGGTTCACTTCCCGGCTCCCCCCATCCCTCGCCGGCGAGGCGGGTACCTGTTGGGCAGGGAGCGGCGGACGCGGTGCTCCCCGATGCGGGGCGGCCCCCGGCAGCACTCCGGTGCCGCGCTGCGGGGCTGGCGCTCTGCGGGGGGGAGGGGGGCGAGCTGCCCCCCTTTCCCCCGCCCCAGCCCGCCCTCCTCCCGGCCCGGCGGGGCCCGGGCTCTGCCGCGCTGTGCAGAGCCCGGGGGGGGGGCACGGCCAGCGCCAACCGAGGGGCGGGTGAGGCCGCGCGGCTGCTCCCGGCAACCGACCACCGGGAAGGAAGCGGGAAGCTCTTAGCTCGGTATCCGCTGAGCACCTGTCAGCCCGTGGAGCCTGATTTACACTCTGGTTTAAACCCTGGCAGCCGCCCCACTGGGGATCCCCTCGGAACACTTCTTTTTGTGTTGTGGTGGGGTGTTTTTTTTTCTTTCTCCTCTTTTTTTTTTTTTTTTCCCTTCCTTTTTCTCCTCCCCCCTCCCTTCCTGGAGCGGTGTGAAAGGGGGTATTTTCTTCAGGGTATAAAGCTGAGAATACCGAGGAAGAGAGGCTAAGCGCTTCACCTCATTGCCTCATTCTGTCTTTCACATGAACATTCTCTACAACGTTTCCTTCGTCCTGCCGTACCTCTCACCTGGCCAGCGCTGCCCGGATCATGCCCGCTAAACCCGCTAAGCTCCTGCCGGTTTTCTTCCTCCTCTCAGTGTTTCACGCCTGGTAAGTCTGCAACCCCTCTCCTCCTCCACCCTCTCTTCTAGCTTCGGGGCTTGCGGGATGGAATCCCGTTCGCAGGAGTTTGCCAAATACTCGGTGCCCGAGAAGGACCGCAGGCTCTTCCTTTCTCCCCACGCCGTGCCAGGGCTTCATTCCCCTGCGCCCTCCCCGGACCCGCCTGGCTCCCTTGACAGCCGCAGCCCGCCTGCCTTCGCGGTGGCCCCGCCGCTGCCCCTCCTGGCCCGGCGTGAAGCCGGAGGTCGCCCGGGAGCCCTCTGTCCCGAGCCAGACCGGGAGAAAGTTTTTCCGCTCCGGCGGCTGCCATGGCCCGCACACGGCGGGACGGCTGCCCCCGCTGCCCGGGCTCCCCCCGGCGCCGAGCAGCCGGCAGCCCGGCTTCCCTCCGTGCTCCAGCTGCGGGGACTCCGCGGACAGGGCCGTCGTGAGGACTGAGAGGGCAGCCGCGGGAAGCATGAGTCCCTGGGGTGCCCTGTTTCTGGGGGGCGGGCGGTGTTAACCGCCGCGAAGAGGGGCCGGGAGAGGCGTGTGTGGCGGGCCGGGACAGGGAGCCCCTAGCCCCTCTCTCAGGAGAGGAAAGGGTTCCGCCGGCGGAGCGCCGGCAGCGGCGAGCGGTGAGGGGCCGGGCCGGGAGAGCCCGGCGGCGGCAGCCGTGTGCTTTGGGGTTAGGCTCGCATTCGATCCCCGTGGTTGTCCAGGATACTAGGAAGGGCCCCTGCCTCACGACCCATGTGAATGGGTCACCTTAGTTCCCCCTCCGTAGGATCTGCCACAGACTTGCAAGCGTGCTCAATGGCCCTTCCCTTCCTTTCCCTTCTCTATTTATTCATCTTGATCTCAGCAGCCTGCCTCGCACTGGAGTAGCATCTCTTCCCCAGATCCTCAAAGGAACTAGAGGCTGCTTTATGCCAGCCCCCAGAGCAAGTCCGGGACACACGTGTTGCAGCAGGAAATAAACCCTTTCCCCACAGCCTCTCAGGATTTTCCAGCCTTTCTCTTTTTGCAGCTGCACTGTCTCCGCACAGGATCAAAAGTAGTGGCCTCTGAGGAGTTTGGGGAAGGTGCTCAGCCTTTCTTCCTCCCCAGTTTGAGAATGATCTGCCGTTATCCCACACGTGTTTCTGTGGATAGCAGGAACGTGCTGGGAATTGGCAGTCACTAGTAAGGCTACAAGTGAAAAATGCAACCTCATGTACCTTCAGGGAGCTTAATTGTGCAGAGGCAGGCAAGGGAAGAATAATAGCAAACTCCTAACAGAGAAAACAAAACACCTTGAAAAAATACGTGTCTAGTGTGTTAGTCAGATCCACTGTGAAACCTCTCCCACCCCCAGTCTTAACCTAGAAGGTAGGTAGGAATTTGCACGGTTTGGAAGTACTTTCTAGGAAACGAGCTGCTAGAGTGAGGATGTTTAAAAGATCTGCCAGTGCTTAAGCTGTTGTGAGTGACTGTTTTTAAAGGAGTGGCTCCCTGAAATGGGAATCATGATCCTGCCTGAACTCACTTCTCATTTCCACATGCAGTCTAAATGCCTTCAGTAAAGTTGTGGGTGCAGCAGAAAAAGACGTGCGTTTTGTGCTCCTTTCCCACCGGTAATTCAGTACCACTGCAGCGTTTCAGCTCTGAAATACCATGTACGTTTGGAGACGGTGCCTCCTTGGAGAATGGTTCTGTAACTACAGCATTAAAGCACAGATCCCAGCGTTAAGATCCCACGAATCTGAGGGAGGAAAACACAACAAAAAAACCCAAACACAAACAGAACAAACCAAAACAAGCAAAACCGAATTCCAAACTCCCCAAATCCCACTGGGGATTTTAAGAGTTCATTGGGTCAATTATACAAAAAAGTTCTAGTTTTTACAAAATACAGCTTATGGAGAAGGAATGGTCATCTATTCAAAATTTCCCTTAAGTTTTCTCTACTTTCGTAACTTGGTTATATGAACTCTCTCTGTAAAAAATCCTCGGGGATTAGGTTTCAAAATTATTTTAATGTCAAAATTTTATCTTGAGCACTTTTAATTTGTGAAGTAGTGTTAAATGATTCATGGCTAATCCTTAGGGGCATATTGGCTGTAGAGCAGTTCCGATTAAAAGTTTCATTAAATGCTCAAATGGTGGTCTACAAGCAATGTTAAGAGTTGATGATGCTCTGATTAAATTTCGTATTTGTATTCATATTTTTTTTTCTGTTCCTGCAGCGTGCCCATCAGGTTTTCTGGACATCTGAGACTTTTTAAGGAGAGGGAGAAAGAGAAAAAGGAGGTTGCTCTGATGCATGTAACACATGCCATGAATAAACAAGGCTGGTGCCTCTGACTTTCCATTGCTTTGCACCTTGCATAATTATTGACACTTGTGTAAAAAGGTTGCAAAATGATACTGTATTGCCAGGGCAATGATTACTGGATCATGATGACTGCTGTAGGTTCCGCCAGAGAGGTTATCTGTTCTCTTGATAACTTTATCTCAGTTTAACTGTCATAGATTTTCTCCAGTGAGAGACATCAAGCAGATTTGGTTTCCAAGATACCAAAAGATACATCTTCAAATCAACGTTTTACTGTTTAGGCATAAAAAAATGCACAAATGAAATTAACCTTGTGTGAAAACAGCTCTAACTGTGATTTCTGGGCAAACTAGTACATCAAATCTGTGTTAGCATACTCTTAAAAATAATCCACCTATTAAGGAAAAGAAGTCTCAACTCTTTGGGTAGTACCATTTTTAAAAAAAAAAGTCACTAAAACTACAGGGAAATTCAGTTCAATTTATGCAATGTATTTGTGTGCATGTGATAATCCATCTTCAATTCTAGGAGCAAGCTCTTAATTCTAAGCCTTGTAATACATTAAACTCTAAAATTCAGGCACTGAGAATATTATAATTTATTAATAGGATAAAATGATCAGGAAGTATTAAAAGATCTGAATTTTTAATACTCTTATTAGCCTTTGTGCAAGAGATGGATCAGTTGCCTTGGTGTATTAATAAAATAATACTGCAGATGTTCACTCTTCATAAGAGTGTGTTGTAAACTAACGAGTTTGGATAGCTTGGTTAAAATACAGGATATATGATATTACTCCCATAGCTGTGTTGACTCATTTTTTGAGAGACTGGCAGAAGACTATGTATAAACAATTCTCAGTCATGGCCCATGACAGATTCTCAATGATTGTTAATGGGAGCATCCTGTTGCAAAAACAGCCTAAGGCTGGGTAGAGGCAAGGCCAAGGGAGAGATCTAATACTTCTTCAGCTAAGTGTGATTTAGCCAGAATGTAAAATTCAGATTTTAGTTACATGAAGTACTATCTATTTGTTTGATTTATTGCAGTTCTAGAAAGGTTGAAGAGGATGAATATGAAGATGGAACAACTAACCAAAAATGGGTTTTAGCTCCAAAGACACAAGACACAGATGTGACTCTCATACTAAACAAGCTGTTGAGAGAGTATGACAAAAAGCTGCGGCCAGATATTGGAAGTAAGTACAATTTTTTGCACAAGTACGGAGAAGCATCATTATGTACAGACATTATGTTATATTTTGGTTAGTGTGCACAAATTGCTGGGAAAGTAGTTGATACACTTATTAAGTGATCCCTTTGGGTCAGTTTAGAGGGAAGTAAGAGCCGTCTGTATATGGTCACCATTACAGTTATTAGTGTCTCATAGCTATACAGTAATGCAGCAGTTCCAGAAAAGAAACAAAGCCAAAACCCGTGCTGTGTTGTGAAAGAAAGTGTTTTTGGTTTTATTTTGTTGTTTTTTGGTTTTGTTTTTTTTTTTTTCAGAGCTATTACTTTGATTTTGCATGGTATTTACAAAGATCATATTTGATAAGTATGTCTGTTTTTAACACAGTCACATAGAATCATAGAATCATAGAATAGTTAGGGTTGGAAAGGGCCTTAAGATCATCAAGTTCCAACCCCCTTGCCATGGGCAGGGACACCTCGCACTAAACCATATCACCTTAGGCCTCGTCCAACCTGGTCTTGAACACTGCCAGGGATGGAGCATTCGCAACCTCCCTGGGCAACCTATTCCAGTCCTTACCACCCTAACAGGAAAGAATTTCCTCCCTATATCCAATCTAAACTTCCTCTGTTTAAGTTTTAACCCGTTACCCCTTTTCCTGTCACTGCAGTCCCTAATGAAGAGTCCCTCCCCAGCATCCCTATAGGCCCCCTTCAGATACTGGAAGGCTACATCTCTTAGTTTCTCTTACTGAATTTAGCTGATCTTTAATATCTGACGGAGAAGGGCTTTAATTCAGTACCCCACCCATATCAACATCTGGAAGACATTGTCAAACACATTTTTTTATTTTACTTTGTTCACAATGTCCTCAGATCACTGACTTCAGGCAGAGTAAATTACGTTATGTCTGTGTGGGGCAAAGTAATCATGTCAGTTGCCCTAAAATCAGTAGAGGTCAGAAAAATATCGTGCATCACTGGAAAATTGTTACCAATATAATTCCTTTTGTCTCTGCACAAACTTTCATAAATCCTGTTTTAAAGAAAGGAGTTAAATTACACATCTCCTCATATATTGTACCAAACAGTTCTTAACTACATCTGTCTATTTCTATCAAGCATCTCCGTCCTAGGCCGTTTTTCTAGGCCTGATAGGATTTGATAGGAATCTGGCTATTTCAGAACCTGAGCAGAGTGTTGTTCACATACTAGAGAAGTTAGTTCACCTCTGCTTCCTTCACTGGTCCCTCTTTCCTGCTTTCATGCCTTTGATGCAGATAAACAACATTGCCCTTTTGAAGCTCAGGAGCAGCTGCATTTGTCAAGGAGAACATGGGAATGTTAGAGAACCAGGCATTATATCTAGCTTCCCCGAATTGCTGGCTGGTAGCCTGCACATAAGCATATCTCCCTTTCCATCTGGGAGCAAGTTACAAGTTATACTCCTAACTAGATGGTTGACTTGTTCTGGCAACTGAACTGTCTCCCTGCCCTGAAGTTCCCTAGTTGGATAAAGCAAAATGCATAGCAGTCAAAGCACTAAGAAAAAAAGTAGTGGACCAGGTAACATAGAACATACAGTAAGAAAATGCATGTTTTGGAATCAACAGAAATCATGGAATGAGCCAGTGGAGGAAGAGAGAGATAATTCTCAGGATCAAGCAGAAGTGCAGCCTCTAAAAGATGCTGAGGATTAAATCTAGGACTAACATGCAGTCAGTTACTCATTAGGACCTTTATATTTGTGCAGGGCTGCCTGTAAGGAAACCTGTCTGTCCCACAGGACAGAAGACACCCACTGTTTCATGCCAGATTGATCTTCACTCAGTTTTCTAATCCTTTCTTGCAAAGCCACTGTTTCTAACAATGGATAACTTTAGCAATGCTCCTGAGGAAATGATCTTTCTGAATGCTGTCAGAAAAACCTAAGAAAATTCTGACTTCTTTGCTTTTTCAAAGGTTAGGATTGCAATTTTTAGATCACTCAGGACCACACTTTTGCAAGCCAAAGGCTGTTGAGAGGAAAAGACTGTCAAATAGAAGATATTAAAGTGCATGCTGGCCTATGCAGTGACTTTTCTGTGGTTTTTCATCCTTCCCAGGGCAGCTGATGTTTTGCCTAGCTAAGATGTGTGCAGCTACCACCTGTTGCTGTACAAGCATATTCTCAGTGCCCATTTGCTATAATAGGGGCACTGAGTTCTTCAGTAATCATGTACCTCGAGGTCAGGAGTATAGCCACCATTGAATGAACTCCTATGAACACTGAGCCACCCTCCTTCCTCCTCCACCACCTTTTGGAACAAAGCAGTGTTCTGCCAGGAGGGGAATGCCTCACTGCATCCCCTGTGGCCACACACTTGGCAGAGTTCTTGTCTCCATAAACATCACAGCTTATGCGATTTTTAATTTTAATGGTGACATTTAGCAGTTTTCCATTATGCTACAGAACATACACACCTTTTTAGAATTAAGAAATAAAAAGAAGAAAAAGCACTGCACACTGAACAGCTTATACCAGTGTACTGATTAGATAAAAAAGAAAAGTGCTTTAAGGAGACAAAGCATATTTCCTACTTACGTTTTGCTAGTTACAATTGTAGGTCTGAGAATCGTGGGCCTGTTGCATCGTGTAAAGGGCACTAGCTCCAGACAAGTAAACTCATTCTGAGCTATGAAGGTCTTAAAATTTCTTCCATAGGCAGGTACTGTGGAGCTTGTTCCAAAGTTCTTTGGAGACTCGTTCAATGGATATGCAATATACTCTAAGTGCAACTTAGAAGAACTAAGGCTTACTACCATCCAAGAGTGATTTTTATTCTTTTGTACCCTCCTGTGTCACACTGGCTTATGTCCTGATGTAGGAATAAGTTCTGGCTCTAAAATTTTACTTCCTCTTTATTGGTAAAATAAGAATAAAAATACTAGGCAAACCAAGAGGCCACAGAGTGGAATTATGATAATTACAGCTAAAAAAATATATAGAATCATAGAATAGTTAGGGTTGGAAAGGACCTTAAGATCATCAAGTTCCAACCCCCTGCCATGGGCAGGGACACCTTGCACTAAACCATCTCACCCAAGGCCTCGTCCAACCTGGCCTTGAACACTGCCAGGGATGGAGCATTCGCAACCTCCCTGGGCAACCTATTCCAGTCCTCACCACCCTAACAGGAAAGAATTTCCTCCCTATATCCAATCTAAACTTCCCTTGTTTAAGTTTTAACCCGTTACCCCTTTTCCTGTCACTGCAGTCCCTAATGAAGAGTCCCTCCCCAGCATCCCTATAGGCCCCCTTCAGATACTGGAAGGCTGCTATGAGGTCTCCACGCAGCCTTCCCTTCTCCAGGCTGAACAGTCCCAACTTTCTCAGCCTATCTTCATATGGGAGGTGCTCCAGTCTGTCTTATTTGGGTTTTTGCCATTGCTGAATTTGTGATTAACTGATTTAAAATTTAAGTTCTGTTGAAAAAAACAAAACAAACCCAAAATGCAGCAAAACCAATGAAGCAGCCTACAAGTAAATTAAATAGTACACAACAAAACATATTTCCTTCAAAGTCAGTTTACTTTAATGAAACCTTCCCTCTCGCCTTCCTTCATAGACAGCTTAGTTCACAGTGGAGTCCTGGAGAATAAAAGCTAACTTTATTATCTTTATATGGAACATGGGTTTCCTGAAATAGAAAGCTTGTAACAGTGTATTCTTCCAAAGTAAAAGTTTTGCTAATCACTTTCCCTAAGTGAACTTTACATCTGAAAGATAATACAGTATCATTTTCCTTCACTGTGAAAGTCATCTTACCCACCAAAAACTTTAATATGGGAGAAGTGTGCAATTAGTAAAGGGAGGATAAAAATCTCATCAGTCTCAGAGCTGCAGTTCTCCTTTGGAGCATGAAGAGCAGTAACTCTTAGAGTTGCTTTTCATGGGTAGCTGGTTTGCTTACCTGAAAGAAAAGATCTTTTTTTCTCGTGTTCATTAAGAAGCAATAACTAATGTGGGCCAAAATTTCAGTGATGACAAAGGAATAGTAATGTTAAGGTTAGTTCATAAGCTGAGCTAAATTCCAAGCTTCCCTCTTTATCTCAACCTAATGTGAAAGAAAACATTTTATTTCACCCATATGTTTTGGAGAACAAAACTGTTCCCGAGCAGCTCTAACAAGCAGTTACCCCAGCTCTTTAATTCCAATGGAAAAGAGATTCAAAACCACACATACTGCAGTCTGATCAGACACTCTTCAGCCTTCCTGTGATTGCTTGGCCCTCTCCCGAGCTCCTAAAACACTTTCAGAACACAACAGGACTAGAATAAGGAGTTACACACACTTGTTAGTTACAGACAGAACTGCTGTCCACTAGCTTTCTGCTTGGTGTTCCTAATGTGAGAAGTGGTGTTAGGAAAGTGATAACTTTCTGATTTTGCATTTTTTAAAAATGCCTAAAAATATTGCTGCAGATTATCTTAAGTTCTACTGAATCTTTCTGTTTTGTGTTTCTAACATAGTTACCTATAGGAGCATTGTGATTTAAGAAATTAGCCTTTATGTTAGTGTGGGTTGCTGTGTTAGTTGAAATCGGACGCTGTGTTGCTTGAGGTCCCTGTGCTTTGTGACATACTATCCTTAGTCCTTACTCTCTAGAGCATAACCAAAGCACCTAGGGTCTATTGTGTATAGAATGAGTTATTTGACAACCTGGCAAGGCAGAAATCTAACCAGCCAGCTTGGCAACAAAACTTAGGTTTAAGGTGACCTGAAGTAAATTGCCCTCATTATAATACTAAAACACACACCCACAGATTGAGAAGACCCTTGCCCCTAACATAGTAACAGAAGAGAGTGACACTGCAGATACTTTAATTGTATGTAAATCACTAACCAATCATTGTAACTGGGAGAATACTATCTTGTAATTTTTGTGTATAAACATAATGATGAAATCAGGATTGGGTGTGCTTGGTTTGTGGAAATTGCCCCTAGCACGCAGCGCTGCAATA